AGGTACAACATACCGTCTCGGCGTCACTTTAGTGAAACAGCAATACCAACACCCTACAACGACACCAAAACTCAAGTTTTGGAATAATTGAAGAAAGCACATAGGGTGGCAATAACCTGTGATGCATAGACGTCCATTGCAACAGAATCCTATATCACTATTACCACGCACTACATAACTGATGAATGGCAGCTCGTGTCTCGCCTATTCCAGACATACAGTAAGAAAAAAAAATCATCATCTATAGAAAAAAATGCATCTCAATGCATCGAGAATCGATTTATAATCACATTGTGGCACCCTGAATCGAAATTGAATCGAATCGAATCGTGAGGTGCCTAGAGATTCCCACCCCTAATAACAGGAGAAGACCCTCTCACCCACAGAGTGCAGACAGGCTTAGAGTCAGATAGGAGACCAGAATTAGAAGAGTGAATGTTGCAAGGTGGGGAGAAGGACGATAGTAGCTCAGACAGGTACTGAGGTGCCAAGCCATGCAGAGCCTTACAGGTGAGCATGAGGATTTTGAAGCCATTACGAAAACCTGACAGGAAGCCAGTGCAAGGACACCAGGATAGGAGTAATATGATCACTTGCTCTAGACCTGGTCAGGATTCAGGTTGCTGAATGTTGGACATACTGGAGTTAGTTCAATGTGGATTTAGAAACCCTAGCAAGCGATGTGTTACAGTAGTCAATTCAGGAGAATACAAATGTGTTTATCAGATTTTCAGCAACAGTTGAAAAGCAATAAAAGAATAAACTTCTCCAACTGCCCAGCTTCACACCCCTCAACATTGGAGCAGAGAGCCCTGATCCAGTGACAAGATCCAGGCTTGAACCTGTGATCACAGAGCTCAATACGCTCCTGGGTGAGCACCTTCCATTGGCTGGTGCTTATTTAACTAACATCTTATCATTTTGTTGTGCACATAATGTTTACAAGAAAGTCTTATATTTTTGTTACAACTTTGTTTTCTAGTTAAGTATAGTTCCCCTAAACCTATAGATGTAACTCTTGGCACTAGACCTATATTTTTCCAATATGTTTTTTGCAGAAAACTAGTAGATATGTAAGAAATTGTCAATAAGAATAAAATCATAAATGCTTTTCATCACACTAATATTGCTGCACAATGCAGCCAAAAAGTACATGTGAACATGAAGTATACACTGTCGATATTCAAGGTTTCTAGGGTTTTTCAAACTGCAGGTGTTCAACAATACCATAGTAGATATTTTACCCAGCAAACTTTTATCTTCTTAACAGCATTTTTCACAGCGAATTGTGATCAGCCGTACACACTTTGGGTGTTTGTGGGACTATTCATTTTTGCCTTTTGTAATTATCTCACCTGGAGCAGTTTGCTTGGCCAACAGCTATATCACCCTGCAACTAACAGCTGGCAGCCCAGTGAAGCTAAGCAGGTGTGAGCCTAGTCAGTACCTGGATGGGAGACCACCCGGGAAAAACTAAGGTTGCCGCTGGAAGAGGTATTAGAGATACCAGTAGGGGGGCGCTCACCCTGCGGTCCATGTGGGTCCTAATGCCCCAGTATAGTGACGGGGACACTATTCTGTAAACAGGCGCCGTCCTTCGGATGAGATGTAAAACTGAGGTCCTGACTCTCTGTGGTCATTAAAAATCCAAGGGTGTTTCTCGAAAAGAGTACAGGTGTTACCCCGGCTTACGGGCCAAATTTCCTCCTGTCCTTTACCAGTCATGGCCTCCTAATAATCCCCATCTATGAACTTGCTTCATTACTCTGCTCCCCATTGATAGCTGATGTGTTGTAAGCGCACTTGTGCACTATGGCTGCTGTCGCATCATCCAGGTGGAGGCTGCACATTGGTGGTGGTGGAGGGGAGTCCCCATTAACTGTAAAGTGTTTTGAGTGGAGTGTCCAGAAAAGCGCTATATAAATTTAAGGAATTATTACTATTATTATTGGAGTTTCAACACTTTCCACTTTCCACAGTGAATGGACAGTAAACTAAACTTAAAACTTAAACTAAACCAATGCTTTAAAATCAGACAAGCTTGCCTTCAGCTTTCCAGTACAGGATTAGTACAGTACAGGATTCAAACTAAATGGTTACCTTTTAAAACTGAACAGAAAAAAATGTACGGAATTAATGTGATCCCAATAACCCTTTAGGGTGGTTTTCTTTAGTTTGTTGTTAGCAACAAGGTCTATTATTTCTTTTAAGATTAGGTGTTATTAAAGATTTCTAATAATGTTTGTGTTCCCTTGACGAAGCAACTTGGTGCCTTTCTGTGTAAGGGCAAAGGAATATGCTAATAGGCCCCTCTGACATGAGACATCATAAAGCTGTATCAGAACTGAACAGTGTAACAGTATTTAGCACAGATGGAATCCAGCAAAGTTTCTAGGCTGTTTCTTTACAAGAACATGGGTCCAAATTTACTGTTCATCACCCAAAAATGCACCAACGGGGGATCTCCAGGGTTGGTACTAAAACCATCACCAACTTGTATGTACCTTAAAAGCAAGAACTCACTGGCTCCTCATCTCTCCCCAACTAAACTGACAATCTGAGTTTTCCAACCATGCCACTGCAAGCAGTCCAGACTTAAACATTTCTCCAAGAAAGCAAGAGATTGAGTCTGTACAGTACAGAATTCTGTCCAAGATATTCTTTCTGAGAAAGAAGAAATCTTGTTTTTGCGAACACACTGTTATTTTTACCCGATGAACAAAATAAGACAGATGGGAGTCTTTTTGTGGACTTCCTGAATATCCAGGAATATTCAGCACTGGGACGAACAGAGCTCAACTACCTGTCTACCTTGCGGCCAGACACAAAAAGAAAACTCTGCACACAATTTTATTTTAAGACCAAAGTTCAGCCATGTTAACTTATGGCAGACCTGCCAGAAGGCCAACACTAGCTGCTGAGACCAAACGCAAAGCAAAACTCTATTCCTTTCCCTCAGCACTGGGATACTGCCAGAACAGAGTGAGCTGTCAAGTCTGACCACAGACCATCCAGACCAAATTTGGTCAAGAGATATTTGAGCATAAAACTTTTTAATCACATTATAATTCTTGAGAGTTGAACAATTATTTCAAACATGTTTGATGTTTAGTTCACAACATTAAATGCATATTTACTTGTGTCCGAGAAAATTAATGCAGTGCAATCATTTGAGACCAATAAAACATATGAGCTAGGCCATAACACACGTTATAGTCAATGTGTATTTTAACTCTGAAGTTATTAACTCTGATATTTGTAATCCCTGAGTAAATGATCAGCCTTTTGTATCACAGCACATCATTTCACAAATATATTCTACTTTATTTGAATTTGGTTACATGTTTGATTGATTCCTAAAAGTCATCAAGTACTATTACAATTTACAACTACAATTACTGATTGTTAATGAAAAGGAAAACCCCCACATCACTATAGTTGAATGTGCACCGATATACTGTTTTCAGTCTTTTTTGTTTCCGTCATAGGATGTTTCATGACCATTTATCAGTTAAAATCAAAAACAATATCTGTAAGTAAATGTCAATAAAGGTTAAGTAGAAAAAGACAAGCAGAAGAAAAGTTACAAACATGAGGAGATCAATCAGCCTCTCTAGCCCTTTAAGGTGAAAAACCTGAAAGCTGAACTGGAACAGTGCAAAATCCAAAAAAACGGGTTTGGATAATTAATGTTGAGTTTAAAGCGATTGAAAGAGAAAAGGGGACCATGAAAGAGAATGGGTCAGAGACAGGTTCAGAATCAAAGCAAGACAGAGAAACAGAGAGGGACAAAGACAGGCCATGTGAGACCAAGAGCAACAGAGGAAGAAGCAGAAGGAAAGGGGAGAAAATCGAGATCAGATGGGGGCATACTGACCTCTGTGCGCCTCCCTCAGCGATGACGTCACCACAGTGGCCCACTCCTGTGCCTCACGCTCGTCCCGGAAGTTAAAGGTGATGCGGTCGTGGGGGGGAGTGACCAGGCTGAGCTCGTGGCAGCGTAGTGACTTGACCTCGTACTGCACGTCACGCAGGTCAAACTCCACGATGGACTGGAAGAGAGAGGGGCAAGGAAGGGCCAGTGAAAGAAAGTGAGGAGTGGAAGTCAGCAGACACGTGACTCAGACAGACAGTCAGTCTTTCAAAATGACATTCATACAAATACCACCTAGAACACGAAGGCAGTTTGAAGGAGTCTGATGCAATCTGGTGTAATCTATCTGGACAAAGCAGCCTGACTTCGTAATGAGTGTCTGATGTCAAGCAGGCCAACCAACTTTCCTGTGTTAATCACTGCTGCCTTACTTGAGCCGTGACCTGGTCAGGTCTCAGAAGCTCAGCAACTCCAGGAGGAATTTAAGACAAATTGCCACCCACTTTATGGGTATTAATGACCCCAGGGCACAAACACCAATAATCCCACAATCAGGTCAACATCCTGAATAAACAAGAATCTGGCCTGTCCCCCTTCAGTTTTTTGATTGCTTGTTTAGATGGGGGGTCTCTTCTGAAGAACTTTGCAATGTGATGCAAAGTGGCTATATACGTACCAAACCACAGACAAAAGCTTCTTTGAGATTCTTGGGTCAGTTAACTGCCAGCAAGTAAACAAGCAACATCTGAAACATGGCTGCTGCATGTCCATGTAAAAATGGTACCCACGCTCAGTGCAAGGCCAACACTAAAATAGAAATCAGGGCACCATAAGACTGCCTAGGCCTGGCCAAACGCTAATCACAAGGTCCTCTGAGTGCCGAGTGATACGGACACTCCTGAATAGATCCCTGTGATAACAGCCTATTTAACCCTGAGGGTGCGATGAGCTTGGAGAACTAACTGATTTGAAAATTAAAACCAGAGTTCTCAAGAAAATCAAGACACATATATAGTATAATATCTGTAGACCTACATACTATTATGATGTTGTCAACATTGTAAAAGTCAACACTAATGGATTTATTGAAAAAATAAACGTTTTCTGCAGTAATTCAGAGTTCAGAATGACATCTAGATAAAAATACAGAGACGCTTTGCTACCAGCAACAGGAGTTTATGTTTTATTTAATAATGGCAGCAATACTTTGACACAACACATTGATTCTCGTGTTCATAGTACATAGCAGCGCTTTACTTTTCCGTGTTTGTTTTGTGTCACACGGCGTATCTTTGACCAGTTGTTTCCCAGTTAAAAACACTAAACCAGCGGTTCTCTGGTCACGGGGGAACACTGTATGCTACTTTTAGTTTCAACTGGGCACAGGTGCTGACTGCTGCCTGTAACTGATCTGCTTGCTGGTTAAACCTTTTTTTGCATTCAGGCCTTAGCGTCAAAACATACTCTAAATTAATTCAAACAACGTCAAACAACGCAACGTTACGCGCTCGCATTTAACGAGCGGAAAGTTGCTGTCAAACACTTAATTCAGAGAATTTACAGCAAAATTCCCAGCTGCTCGGAGGTCCATTTGTTTGACAACCAGGGATTTGCTAAGCGGCCCGCTCCTGACAAGACTGGTTTAATTGGGGACTTTACGAAGCGCGCATTGTAAATAAAAATAGACAGAATCGTGGCTAAATAAACTAGTTCATTGGCGTCCCATGACCAGTATGGCATCATTGATGTGATGGTGCACATTCACACTGCCACAGTAAGTCCATAAAGATTATGAACACTCATACTTCAGAGCCTCCTAACTATAAACAAACACAGCAGTCACCCACTCGCAGTTAGACAACGCAACAAACATAAAAACAACACAAGATTTACTAAAAGAAGCAAAAGTATCAATAATTATTTTATATTATCAACGTTATAACTAAATCCAGAGTGGTTGTCATCCACATTTCCTTGCACTCGTCAGTCTACAACTGTCATTTCGTTGTATATTTTTCTGCAACCCCAGAAAGGATAACAGCTAGTCCTGTGAATAAAAGAGAGTGTTACGACTCTCCCCGATCCGCATTGCACTTTCCCTGGTGTCTTACCACACTCCTGCCGGCTGCCGAGGCGCTGGCATCCCGCAAGGCCAGCCGGAACTCCCCGGCCCGGCCCGGATCCATGCTAAGTTGCAAGCGCAGAGACTCGTCCCCAGCTCCGGGAAGACATAGTGGTCGGATCCCGGAGTGACACACCGACACCCGCACCGACATCAAGACTGTGTTGCAGCCGCCCTGAGCACCCACCGGCCCGGGGAGCGGGGGAGAGGGAGTCCGGGGCGGTGGGGTGTGCGCCCACCCGCCCGAGCTCAGCGCCATGACGCCGGGCCAGCAGGCGGGGGGTGAGACAGAGGAGTCTCAGTAGCACAGAGGCCCGGCCGGTTGGATGGTCCAGTCCAAACTAATCCAGCCCGTCGGGTGATTTGTTTATCTGTACATCGAAAGGTGCTGTTTCATCTCCGATCGCCTTTCTTAATCCGAACAGCGACTTCCTATCACAGAGCAGGAAGCGGGTACTCCCCCTCTCTGCGTCCTGCCTGCAAACCGAGCTCCGCGAAGGTCGGGTCCGAATTCAGGAGCAGCCAAGGCGGCGGGGCGGAGGAACGGGCTCATCCGGTCCGCAAGACTGGCTGGCGGCAGAGAACCGAGCGGCACCGCGGTGGAACTGAAGAACGGGGAGGGAGTGCGTTTATTCTGCGTGACAGCCGTGTCGTTTCGGAATAATCTGAGTTTCACTTTCCTGTAATAGAAAAGGGAACCGACGAAAGAGCCCCATTTGATTGAGCTGCAGTAGTGCAGTAACCCGACTGCTACACAAAATAACGTTTGCACTTTCTGATAATAGCGTTGAATATTACTTCAACCCAGCATCGGGTCTGGCTTTGTGTAGTTTTGCTCATGAAGGCGAACCTGGTATTTCAGAATACAAATGATCACTTTTTACAGTACATTTACAAAAAATATTTATTTTAATGTAAAAGCCGATAATTCTCATTAACCTGTTTGAACTGAATAAATTGTTGAGAAATCATTACAGTATTCAATATTTTAAGTGGGCCTTATTTATCAATTGTGACTATCGTGGATGTTTAAGTACCTTGCCATCTCTCCCTTTACTATTAATATCTGGGGGGTCACTGTTACTGTATGAATGTGGCAATTGAGTTTGTGACTTTGGGTGCTGCTACCCACAAAAATGTGTAGAGAAAAAAAGACCACAGAAACGCCAAAGCGATGCCTTTTCATATTTTTATTTATCAAAAATACCCGTGCGAATCTTTTTAAAAGCCTTACGGATGTTGCCTTTTTATCAGCAGGCTTACAGTTTTTAATAAAATAATTGCACGTCCCAGCATTAAAAAAATAATACCCTGAGAATACACAGATTTCTGAAAAGGAAAAATAAAATTACCAAGTTTTTCCTTAGTCCCCAACTCCATACATTCCGATGACTCGGGCAGAACTAGCGACTGTCTTGTAAGCAGAGAGACAGCACCCCCTACAGGACATTTCTGTAAAGTGCCTCACTCCACCGCTCTTACCCTGCCTTCTGTAGTACAAGCAGGTCATGAACTGCTAAAGAGCTGAGGAAAATATTCAGTGTAAATACTGGTCTCATTTAGAAAGTCACCACTGACACCTCTTTCTAATATGACAGTCCCAGCCGCCCCGTTTCTCTGTTGTAGTCCAGCTAAAACATTAGAAGCCACCTTGACACAAAAATCATGCTAAAATACAATTAATAGGGAAACTTGTAAAATTCTGGTTTACATTACAAAGTCTGCATCCAAGGGAACACAGTGAGAAGAAAGGATATCATCAAGGAGTCCCATTATTTTCCTGGAGGTCCAGTTTTATGTCCAGTTTAGCCTTGCCTATCAGTAAGTTCACATTTACTCAGAGCTGTCTGCTAATCAGGTTTGATTGAATACTCTCCAGCTCTTCGGCCTGGATAGCCGACCAGACCCACTGCTGGAGGACCAGAGTTCCCAGCTCAGAGGGTGAGGGTGTATCCGAGCCCCTCTGAGCTGGGAGAAGAGGAGATGTCCAACTTAAACATGTGTTCAGCAAATCACCCCAACATTCAATGGCAGGTGACAGATCAAACCCCTGGCCCTGGAATACATAATCTGTTCCTCCTGTACAGACTATGAAGAGGCACTTCAAAATAGTGCTGTTTGAAGCTCTTTAACGCCTAAATTGGTACCATTTAGAAGTTTTGGTAAGGTAATAGGTTTTTGTTACTGATTTACATGCAGAATGATGAAGTCTGCATTTCAGCTTTTGGTGCGATGATTACAGCGTTGAGCAAAACGCATTCTAGCCAACAACGGATAAAGCCCCAATCTAGAAAAGCCTGAAAGTCCTTCCCAACCCTGAGTTTGCCTTAGCAAGACCACATCTGAACCTGGGGACCCCTCTCAGTCCACCCCACTTCTCCTTGGGTAGAAGAGCACCCCTCCTCCTGCGTAGACTGATGTGGAAACAGAGCACTTGTCTAGGCCTCTGACTTCAGTACCTGACTGCACAGCCACAGGCAGATGACTCAGCCCTACTAGGTGTACATGAAATAAATACATTCTCCCTTGTCAACACTGCTCATTACTAATAAACACAAAATGTATACCTTCCTTCCATCCTCTCTCTGTCCTGTTAGGCAAGTAATATGTGCAAAAAACATCTCTATATTAATATCTTTTCCCATCGACCAGGGAGGCACAAAATTTGTCACATTATTTCATAGAAAAAAGGCAGATTAAAAAGAAACCCTGTTAGATCCAGAGTAAACCCTGTACGTCCGATTTAATAGATGCTCTTCAGCTCCACAATGGACCGTAGAGGCTCAGAGCCTCAATATTATTCCCAGCTATTACAGGAACCAAAAAAACGAGACCCTGGCCAAAAAGCTCCAGACCAAGCAATGCTGGCGTTTACAAACAAAAACAACACAAAGATAGTGCAAATAAGAGTCCGGACGAGGCCTTTGTAAGATTTCGCCCCTGTGGCCAGGGAGGCAAAGTCAGTTGGACAGATGGGGAGACGTTCAGAGCAGCGCGAGAGAGGGACGGGGCAGTTCAGTAAGGTGAATAGCGGGCGAGGGGAGCTGCGCTCTGCAGGGCGTACTGCGATGGGTCAGAGAAGGTCATCGTGTCGAAGACGCTCTTGTTGGGCGGGACGGTCTGCAGCAGGGTGTCCAGGTCCATGAGGAGGGGGGTGGGCTGCACAGAGACACTGCCTGAGGGCACAAGGGACCAGTAGCCCGGGCTGACAAAGGGGGCAGAGTGGTGAGGGGGGGGCACCGAGGGTGGGCTGCGGTAGCTGTAGAAAGGCAGCCCCCCCAGGGGCAGGAAGGAGCCACCGTTGAAGCACATGCTTGGAGGTGCGACGGTATTGGGGGGGGCAAATTTGGTGTAGGAAGTGGGCAGCTCCCAGGGGGCGGTTGTGGTCCTCTTGGCTGATTTGTGGGGGGGCATTTGTGCGCCAGAGCACCCGTCCTCCGAGTCCGAGCTGCCTTGGTTCTGGGGGCGCTTCCTGGGACCCCCTTCCTTCCAGTCTTCCTCCGAAGACGATGAGGAGGCAGGGCTGTAGGAGCTGGCCGAGGCGCTGTTGGAAGAGGAGGAGGAGGAGGAGTGCCGGGATTGGGGGGCGCCCCAGCCTCCTCCGTGCCCCAGCGCCTCATGAGGCACCGCCTCCCCTGCCGCGCTCGCCGGACGCAGGCTGTCCAGCAGCGAGTCGATGGCGAAGGAGGAGTCCAGCCTTGGCGGCTCGGGCACCTTGGGGCTGTGCTGGGAGCTGCGCAGGGTGGCACTGGGAAGGCCTCGTCTGTGCAGGATGTAGGGGCTGAGGTCCTGGGCAAAGATGGTCTCGTCCTGCCGGGACACTGCCGTGTTCTGCCGTTTCAGCAGCTCCAGTGGCACACGGTCCACATCCACCATCCAGTAGTTGCCCTTGCCCTGGGGCTTGCCCGGATCCTTCAACACCTGGGGGCAGGAAAGGCCAGGTCACACCCCGAGACTATGGGCAACACCCCCAGTTTACACCTGCTTGTTTATTTCACTCAGACCCCACGCCAAGCTGTCGAGCTTCAAATTCAGCCAATTGTCATTTAAGAGGGCTGGTTGCTGGCTTGTTTGCCTCAGGACTTTGGTAAACAATACTGCAGCAGCAAAAAAATGTTTCCCGAATATGAACCAGCAAGTAATACATTATAAATCAACTGTACATTTCATAAAAGTTACAAAAGAAAGCCATGCCACAATTCCTGAAGGAAATCTGGCATAATACTTAATACTTTTAAAGTGAATTATACATTTAAAAAGAAATATAATTTCTTACAAATTCCGATAGCATATCATTTTGGGAAAGCATTCCAGAGTCGGGCGGCAGCGTAACACAAATTTAACAAGCAAAACAGTAAAGTTAAAACCAGGCTAAAAGAGCCTTTTTAGTCTCGCAACAGAGAAGACTACAATAATAATAATTGCTTACACTTATATACCACTTTACTGGACACTCCACTCAAAGCGCTTTACAGGTAATGGGGATCCCCTCCGCCACCACCAACGTGCAGCACAAACCTGGATGATGCGACGGCAGCCATAGTGTGCCAGGACGCTCACCACACATCAACTACTAGTGGGGAGAGCAGAGTAATTAAGCCAATTCATAGAGGGGGGTTATAAGGAGGCCATGATTGGTAAGGGCCAATGGGAAATTTGGCCAGGACGCCGGGGTTACACCCCTACTCTTTTCGAGAAACACCCTGGGATTTTTAATGACCACAGAGAGTCAGGACCTCAGTTTTACGTCTCATCCGAAGGACGGCACCCGTTTACAGAATAGTGTCCCCATCACTATACTGGGGCATTAGGACCCACATAAACCGCAGGGTGAGTGCTCCCCTACTGGTATATCTAATACCTCTTCCAGCGGCAACCTTAGTTTTTCCCCGGTGGTCTCCCATCCAGGTACTGACTAGGCTCACACCTGCTTGGCTTCACTGGGCTGCCAGCTGTTAGTTGCAGGCTGATATGGCTGCTGGCCAAGTCTACCCTTCAAAACCCTGAAGGGTAGAGAAAGTTAACCCAATAGATGGTATGTATTCTAACAGTTTAACATAAGCACAGTGGAAACTATGTGAAAGCTTTTTTAAAACTGAGAACAGGAGGCTCTTTTACGCAAAGGGTTGTGGGAGTATGGGACAGGCTCTTCAGCCATGTTACTGAAGCCAATAACCTAGCTTCTTTTAAAAAAGGGCTTTAGGAGACCCTAAGGTAAATTAAATATCAACTATCAATTGGCCTAGACAGGCCAAATGGAGTGGGCCTTTCTTATGTTCCTTTCCAACAGGATCAGGGCTTCACGAAAATGTGATTATATTGCCATGTTTTTCCAATTGCACTAATAAAATTGTCAAAACATTTTAACACAAAGATCTGGGTTCGTTCTAACTACACCAACGTTTTGGAATATTCATCAAACTTTTCAAATTCGCTTAAGATCCGAAGAGCAAGGTGAGGGGATGCACAGGATACAGGACTTCACACTGTTCAGGATAGGCTGGGCAACTGATGATCAGAAGTGAACAAAATGACGACTTACCTTCACAAAGCAGTCATAGGAGGAGAGGTTGTGCCTCACTGAGTCCTTCCAACCCTTATAGTTCCCTTTAAAGAATGGAAATAGGTTGCTGATCTCCTTAAGGATCTGAGGGAGGAGAAAGGTTTACTTTACACAATACAGCAATACCGTCCTAGACTTCAGACAATTCTGTCTTCCTATAAGGCAGTTGAAATACAGTTGGCAAAGACTATTCACGCACATTATGCGCCAAACCATGGAGCATTTACAGCATGGGTAAGCAAAGCTTTCCCAGATTTTTTCCAGTCTGGCACAGGTGATGAGAGCTCATGACTTCAGGGAACAAACTCTCAGGAATCATTGCAGCTTATTTTGTTAGGCTGCACAACGGTTTTTCAGTATCACGTGCTTAGCCAACACACGCATGCAGTGTTGAACTCGGCTGTAGTGACCCCAGATCACCCACAGGGGTCACCACCACAGCAAAGGTACCCTTGATGCTCTTAGAGGATGTACTGCTTTGTGTTTCTTTAACTTTTGAACATCAAAGCAAATATCTTATAGCCAATGACACAATTGGTACACTTAAGGTTTGCAGCGAGAAGAGTAACTTTAGCCTGATCAGTGGCGGACAACAGCGCCACCTGGAATGGGTACCCATTATTAAAGCGAATAATACGGACGTGGCTGCTACTTGTAAAATAGTGCCGATTACATTATCAACTGTGTTTTAAGCAGGTAACTGCAGGCTTCGTTTCGGAGAAAAAAAAATGAACACCGTTTCTAATAACGGGGAATTTGAAGTTGCAAAAATTAGGTCAACTGGAGTTGCAGCTTGTCTGAAAAATTGCAAACCAAATAGGAAAGAGATCAACCAAAGATGACTAACTGCTCTTTATTCCAGAAACTGAAACCATAAAACGTTGAGTTTTAATTTTCTGGTCATTTTAAGCTGACATATAATTAAATGTACGAGATGTGATTAAATAAAAGTATTATTTCGTGACATATTTAATGTAAGGCTCCCCATTCCAGACTTAGAAATAGTTTTTGCATACTTTGGTCTGAGTTCCGAGGCTGAAAAGATTGCTTTAAATTAAAGCTAACCTCAATTAACCTCTTTAGCCAGGAACAGAGAAGACCAACAAAGATGTTTACGTAAGCTGATAAACTTGTTTTTCTGTAACTTATGCATTTATAAGACTGAGTTCATGTATATATTTAATTTATCGTGTATTGTGTCATGTGTTTTGCCGGTCGGCAAAGTAAATTTGGGACAATTAAAGAAGTAATTGTGTGTTTCTTCAGAATAAACAGTGAAACACCAACCAAAGGACACCTTGGGTGAAAAGTACATGGAAAAAAATTACTTTAAAACGAAAAACAAACTTTTCACACAAAATGTTGTGGGAGTGTAGAAACAAGCTGTCCAGTCGCATCGTTCAAGTTGATACCAAGCTTCCCTGGAGAAACTGCTGGTTAAAATCATTGGATCAAACAGCTAGTAAAATACATGCTAGGTGGATGGTTCGAAGGTTTTCCTCTCGTTTGCAATCTTTTATGTGTCAGGTGATTTGCTTTTACACTAATCGAGCATAATTTTAATACTTATAAATAATACCATAACACAATTCGCCAGTAGACGGAATATCTGCCTTTCATTCATAGGCATTAGAGCTATAATTGCATGTCACTCAGTTTAAAAGCAGAATAATCCCAGAAATAACGTTAACGTCTTGTATACGGCTGGAGGGTACAAATACAGAACTAGTCTTTAAATGGGAATTGCAGAACTTTCTATCTACAAGGTCTTTGTAATTGTTTATTGTATTGTCATATTTGATATACGTAACTGGTGTCAAAGGTGTCGAATTGGCCGAAATCTCGTTAAGTTAAATTATCCAATTAGGTGAATGATGATTTTTCTTTAAAATGGAAAAAAAAGTAATTGGAATGGAAAACATTTTCTCCCCATCTCGAAGTATTGTTGAAAAGTATTCAAAACGAGAAAAAATGAAGGCATCTAATTATATAGTTGAGAAAAAAAGCTTTAAGTTCGCACAACTTGGAATGAAGTTCCAGCATTATGTCTTTTTTGCCTAGTGGGTAACAGCTCTGTAGAATGGATTTCGGGAAGTTAAAGCTAAACACATGTCTGAGAAATAAACCACGTGTATAGCAAACAAGCGTCTTCCAGTCTAGTTCTGCAGAAGAGCGGTGCGCAACTCCGAGAGTGCACTATGGACATCCGTTTACAGACCAATGTGTTATCGACTCCAGTTTATCCGTTTTTAACTTTGCCTTTTGTTACCTAATTTCATGTTTTTCTGCGGTACAAAATTCAATCACAGTCTAAATATTAATTTCTGTCGTCATTTGATGATCTCCCGGGGACACCTAGAGCACAGAATCCCAGGCGTCCCTCTCACCGTAGGTGAGCCGCCTTACCTGGGACAGGGTGAGTTTCTTTTCCGCGGAGTTCTGGATGACCATGGCTATCATAGCGAGGTAGGAATATGGTGGCTTTGGGTAACGCTGGTAACACTTTTTCCTGTCTTTCTTCGAGTGTCCGTCCGTGTCACTTTTCTGCTCGTGGTCGTCAGAATCATTTCTTCCAGGGTCGGACTGCTGCTCCGGAAAAGTAAAGGCGGAGTGCCTGCCGGGGTCTCCTGGTATTGCGTCGTCCATCGGCTGTAACACTGTCACTGGAGGCTCTGTTGGTGTTGGCGCGGATGCTGGCTGTGCTAGCCTGGGCTCCACGGGCCTGGGGCTGAGAAAGGCAGACCAGAATGAGCTTGGCGACTGCAGCGTTATACTGCTCGTCAAGTAGTCTGTGCGCGCATAGATCGGGCTGCAGTGCTTGTCACGGGCCGTTGACCAGTCAAGGTTAAGGTCGAACGAGGTTCTGAGGCTCGGAGGACACAGGTTGGCGAGGGCGGTTGCCCCCAGCAATCTGCTACCCTCCCAATTTTTTGTCATGCTGATATCTTTGGGCAGCGGCGAATCCCCCGGCTCCCAGAACCTGGCACAGGAGGAGGAGGAGGAGGAGGAGGAGGAGGAGGACGGTCCTTAAGTTCACCAGACTTCTGGCTCCAGCGGACTCTATTTGAAGAGCAAACAATTAACAGTTTCATGTTAATCCCGCTGGGTAATCAGGGAGAGAATGGAGTGCTATCTCTGAGGGAATGACTGATCGCCGCGGGGGGCTGAATACATGTGCGTGCCTGTGTGGAAAATCCACTGGCCACTCATTCACCCCCATCCCCTGCCTTGAATTCGCCCCACCCTTTACACCAACACGGCGCTGTCACACTGAGATAGAGACACCCCCCACCCCCCGTATCGTTTGAGCTGCTTAGAATAACAGCAGATAAGAGAGGTGATGTTACAGGTTTGAGATATCAGACCAGTGGGGGGATAAAGAAAGAAGGAGAAAATGTAAATGAGAAAGGCAGGTATACTCACATACATGGGAAAACTGTACATACATAAGGGGTGAGTGGTTAACTGCTCCCTTAAGAATAGTCAATTGTTTTCCTAATCGATATAACGCGCATAATATACCGGAGGTTTCAATAATACACACTGGATAATATCTCGCTCTGTTCAATTCAGCGCCTTAATTGGATCATTAGGAGATGCTATCATGGGTACATCATCCTGAGATAACATTTAAAAAGCAACATCACTATCCAGAATATGCAATTAATATAATAATCATTGAGCATTGCTATAACACTATCTTTCCCTCCACACGCCTCACCTTCAGCGGAACACTACAACAACAAATTAAAAAGACTACATTTAAAGTCGTCACTATCAGGCCCCTGGTAACCACGTCCATCGTTGTCACGGAACCTTTATTGAATATATATTCTTGCTGTCCTAATGCTCTTTTCGCCTGAAGAAACTCAAACCTATATACCCATTAGATAGCACCCACTCATATAGTAGTAAAGTGCAGCACCGACTCGTGCGTAACGCTACAGCTCCACGACCGAACAGACCGGGTAGGAAAAAGAGAAATTGCTTATCCAGTTCAATTTAGGTAACCCCGATTGTGCAAACCTAAAGTGGAAATTGGACAGGACATAACACCCCTTCTCTCAGAGTAGCCGTGCTAGTTTGCCTGCTGCCTCTAGTGAATGAATGGCTCTCTTGCTTTTATATACATGACCAGTCAGGGCGCATCTCTCATCTCGGAGCGCTTCAGAGTTAATCAGATTACAACAGGGCCAGCAGTGAAAGTACAAGGCTTTGGTTGCTCCGATGAGTACATTCTCCCTGGAGGCTGAAGTACAGTGGGATCCTGCAGCAGGAGGTTGGTTATGCGTCCGCGGCGACTGCTGATGGACGTCACTGAGAATTACCTCTCCACATGCCACAAAGCGCGCTACGTATCCAAACGGTGGCCGCGACGCCAGCAACACGAATTAAAGGAGAAATAAAACGAAGACAGGTCCTCTATTTGTTATGCGGTATCCAAAATGGCTTTGTGGAGTCAACTGGGAAGGCACTTTGAGCGTTTACATATTTCCAAATGAGAAGATTTTTCAGTAGTTTTCAAGTATAATTAAGGTGTAGATAACAGAAATGTTAATAGTCTGTTACAGAGATTGATGAATGAATGTCAGTTTTGCAACAAAATACTTTATTTCAATTTTATAGAAATATGATACATTTATGCTTTATACGCTATACATCTAAGGGGGGAAATACATCAATTTAAGAAAAAACGTTGCTTAGTATCAATCTTTTCAGCGAATAAACAGCTAAATGTACATTCCTTTTTTTATATTTAAAGAAAATTAAGAAAATGTGGATTTCTCCACCTTTACGTGTGGAACTCTAATGTAAAAAGCCATACGCATGTTTAACCGTTCCAGATGTCATTTTCGAAATTAGATAATTTCACACCAGCTCTGCAAAAACTTGAATCTTACTTTTACAGGCTGAAAGGGATACTCGCTCTTTGTTGAGAAGCAGTTAGCATTACCGACCCCGCCCCCTCCTCCGCACTGCACAGCATGAGGACGACTCTAATCTGAGGTCCATCAGAAAGCTGCTCTGGTCCCGAGGACCCTGTTCCTCAACACACCCCCTCTCGTTCTCTGCGGCACACAGCGAGGTGTGAGTTTATTACGGCTCTCTGATCACCAGCGATACTGTAATTCTCTTTGATCTGTTATTATATGACTGGTTTGAACAACCGGTTATATATTAAAAGCATCGGTGACCAGTTTTCATCACGTTTAATTAATACGTCGGAAGATCACAATGTTATGAACTTGTTGGGTTGGTGAGGTCATTTACATCACGATTTAACCCTTTTCAAAATTATTCCAGGATCTACTGTTAATTTAAAAGTACTATTAAAGCCCTTGTTCTCCTTGTGCTGAACGTATTTTGAAAGATTGTCTACAAGATTCTAAACATAACCGAAAAAGTGCTAAGAACCCAGCTCAAGAAGATAATTTTGAACTAAGAAATCCATTCGACACCACTTCAGTCTCAGGCATATCTAGTGTGATAATCATTCCTTAATTATTTGAAACTTAAATCATTTACATTTAACTTTAGATCGGCCTGAACAGTCAGAGCTACATGAACGCCAATGCGAACTGTTTGCCAGTATCTCGTGTCATATAAAATTTAAAATCTCGTTCCTCAACAATTAGCAATGGAAATTTAGGGGCTACGGCTCTCCGTTTTCTAAAGATGAAGGTTAATGGGAGGCAGTTAAAGTGTTAATTCTCCATTGTGCTGTTCTTAAATGCAACGGTGTTCTGCCTTTAGACTGAACAGGTCTGGTAGTGTATGGGGCGCTTGTGAACGGAGTTCCTAAAGGTGTTTTTGTCCTCTACTCAGATCTCGCAGCATGACAGGTAAAATACGATGCGCTCACCTTCTTTCAAACACCTACCGGAGTGGGCGTGGGCAGAGAGCGGAGACAATAGCCAGTTTATAAACACCCTTACCAAACATGGCTAGAAGCAGTCTGTCATTGTTATTTTTATCAGCCGTTACCGAGTGACAACATTCACAGTTCAGCATTTTCTTGGTAATTAGTAACTTTAACTCTTATAGTCCACGCCACTTACCGTAGTTTCTGCATTGCCGCATAGATCTACATCTACTTTTACAGTTTCTCACCTTAACTTGTATCTGTTCCCTAAAGCCTCCCACTTGGATTTAACAGAACAATGGAAGAAAAAACGGATTTCATGCATTACGACTGTACCTTCGTGACTTGTAAAGTGCCGGAATTGCCCGGCGATTGTCCGCTGAATCGGTTGTTGAGAAACATCTTACTAGCGCATATTCACGCTACAATAGCGTGGTTCAGAAAAGTTCATTATTTTATAGTGAAATATTAAAAAATACTGGGTTTTAAGAGGAAAAGTACATTAATGCGTATCAGAACTCTCACGCCCTGTATAGATCTTTAGAATTAGATTACCACCTAGATAAAATGTATAGGCTCCTAGGCAATTAAAACTCTTTATAATCCATGTTGCATATTTCCAATGTAGTATTATAGGGTCAGTTTAATAAAATCTGCTAATTTAGTACGGATCATCCCAAAATGACTGCTCAAGCACAATGAAAAAAAACCTGCAGAACAAAGTTGGAATCCAGCTGATTTTGTTCTTAATACGGTACAAGGGATTAAGCTTTTGTTCTACCAATCAACAACTGAAAGTGGATTCCGATTCGGAATGTTTGAATGACAGTATTTGCACCAGTAAGCCAATCTGTGGGCAGAAACGAACAGTTATTACTTTGTTGTATATGTATAGCTGAATGCTCGTGATAATTTAATGTTATTTTTTTTCATAAGAAATGTATGAATGCTAAATACTCCAGATGAGGGCATATAGATCCAAATAATAAAGAAAAATATAACAAAGCACATTAAATACATGGTGTATTTGTTATATATGCCTTTATTATTTGGAAGGTCATTTTCCAAGGATAAAGACTGTGGTGAAATGAAGTGAACTGAAAAAATGAATGGAGAAACCGCCAGAGAATTTGGAGAATGTGTTTAAAGTTAATAATCCTAGACTCTGGGAGAGAGACAGGCTGGGATATCCTCAATCAGGAAACCAATAGTGACAGATAAAGAACGTCAGTTTTCAAATGAATTAAGTTCATTTTTTACTAGCTATGATAAAGCAAACACTTCTGATAATTGTTTTAACAGTTCAGACAGGGTTATCATTAATGTAGAGCAAATCATGAATACTTTTAAGTTTACAAATGTTCATAAGGCAACTGGTGTATAAAGCACTCTTAGTACATTTATTTTGAAGTTCTTCACAAGAGAATTAGCTTTGGTACAGCAATCAGTTTTCCAGATGTCTACAGACACTCTATGCTTTATATAAACATGGCTATACTACAATCTGTGGTATGGATCCTCCTATTCTGTACCCCTCCCTAAGAAAACCTGACCAGAAGAACACAATGATTTCAGGCCAGTTCCTCTTACATCAGTTTTGACTAAATCATTGGACGGGATCTTGGTTCAGAATCTCAGCCAGTCAGTAAATGGGAAACGTGATATCTAGGAGTTTGCTTTAAAAAAGTGAGACGCACAGAAGATGCTGCACTAACTCTCCTTACCTTACACAAATCATAATCTAGGGCATTTTTCCTTGATTTTTCTTCAGTTTCAGACATTTTGTTGACTATTCTATTATCAAGCATAATACAGTACAATTCATTCCTTACAAGAAGGATACTGGGGGTTAATTGTATACTTTCTTCCAAGGTATTAACTAACTATGGAGCACCCCAGGAGTGTGCGAGTTCACCACTGCTCTTCACTATGTATATGAACGAGGGTGTTGCCAGCGATTCAAACCAATTCCTAATAAAAGTTTCTGATGATTCTAACTTAATTTCTCTGATGAATGATAAAAATAACCCCAACCTTTAACAGAACTGTATAGTTTCCTTGCATGGTGCATGACCAGAATGCCTTGATTTAAAAATACTTGAGAAACAGAAGAAATTGTCTTTGGTCTTGAACATAAGTATCT